GACATAAATCCCCTTAAGAGCACAAATAATAGTAAAAGCTAGCAAACAAACTAGGAAGAAGTGAGTTGTATTTATTACCTTTATTCTTAATGCAATTTATTTAATACCAAGTTTATGTAATCAATTTAATAATTTAAATTTAAATTTAATTTTTAATATAATTTAATTATGTTCAACAATTGGCTGGCAAAATTCAGCTTTCAAGAGCCAGTTAAGAGCCAGTCCTGGCACACCGCTGCACTCAGGGAATGATGTTAATCCAGTGTGGCTGGAACAAGATCGGGGTGGGGGGGCGGGTGTGGAGGGGCAATGCGAGGTGCAGTTGGAAGGTATCTGGTGGGTCAGACTAGGCTGGGCCTCTTCGGCTCGCATAGGGGGTGGTTTCAAACAGGAGAGTGATGGGATCTGATGGCTTTAGGAAGGATGGCTGCATACAAAGAGGAGAGGTAAATTTGCTGTGGGGAGCCTGAGGCAGGTGGATCTGTTAGGGAGCGGTTGATGTAACCAGCAGAGAAACTGACGGCTGAGTCTATGATGTGGGGAAAGAGAGGTGTGTTGATGCCAGTTACTGGGGAGTCTGGGTCTCCAGGGCACAATGACTGACAGGTGGTGCTGGGGAAGGGGGAGGGACACATTAAGGGGACATGAAGAATTGGGGCTTGAGCATCTACTTGAATTGGGGCACCAGGCTCTGAAACTCAGAGCGCTGGAGAAGGAGATGGTTTGGGCAGAAGATGAGATGTGCGGATTTGAAAAGAGTGGGTTTGATGATTCTGGGAAAGCTCAGGAGGGGAACTCTCTTCTGAAGGCAAAGTTGGGAAAGAGGACCTAGGATTCTGCCTCTTGTGGGTCCAGTGGCAGGACATTCATGGGAGTGTCCCCACTCCTATCTCTGCCCTGGCTCTAGGCCACCTGGAAGCCACATCCCCCTCTCTGGGACTCAGTCTCCCCATTTGTCATGGGGTATTAGGGTCTGACTCCTGCGTTCTTTTTGCCTGGGTTTTGTGAAAATCCCATGAAGTTGGGGTGGGAGTCGAGAGTAGGGGTGGAGGAGGGTTCCTGCTCTGTCTCAGCCCACTTGAGGGGGCTGGGGGAGCTCTTGGGGAGGAGAGAGATGGCCAGCTGGGGTCCTCAGATTCCTACAGACTTGCTGGGTCAGAAGAGCTGATCTCAGGTGCCCCCCATCTCCCACGGTCTCCCTTCCATCCCTTTTTCCGGACGGCCTGAGGGGCTGCCCCTCTTCTCAGGCGCTCCTGCCCTGCAGTCACCTCCCCACTCCCCTAGCACAGCTTGAGAAGCTGCCCGATGGTGCTGGTAGATCACCAGCTTCCTATCTCTGAGCCCAGCCCTCCTCACCTCCCACACCCAGGGAGCTCAGGCTCCCTGCCCTCCCTCCCCCTCAAGCCCTCTCTCAGGGGGCTTTTATAAAGAGGCTCCTTAATAACAAGCCTGCAGGGACTGCTAGGGGTGAGACAAAGTTGGGTGTCCGAGCACTCTGGCTTCTGTCCAAGCTCAGCCTCTCCCTGAGTGTGTGGGTAAGCCCGGGCACTCCATCTTTTTGTCCCTCAAGCTCCCCTTGTGTGAAAGGGGTGTAAGAATAACACCCATCTTACAGGGTTGTTGTAAGAAGTAAATAAGTTAAAATGCATAAAGCTCAGAGAAAAGCACCCAGCACACAGCAAGTGCTCAATAAACATTAGCAAGTGTTGAGGTTCTTCTGAATGTACCTTCTCCCAACGGCATTTGCAGTTTATTAAATGTCTTTCTCCCACCTTCTTCAGTGGCTCCCAGTCATCTACAACAGAGGTCTCCACCTGATGTGCTGCTGTGCCAGGAATGGGCTACAGACCAGCTGAGACAGTGACCCTCTCCTCTCTGGGGACAGCCCAGCCTCCCCTGCAGGTCATCTCTGTCCTTTCTATTTACTCAAGCGTCCTATGCAGAACAATCTGAACTTCTAAGCATGATATTCAAGGCTTTTTATAACCAGGCACTGGCAGGCTTCTCCCCTACCCCCCACCCCAGGTAGCCCAGCCCTCCCTGGATCCCAGATGCCCAGGCTTCCTCTCGCCCAGTGCCTCTCCTCTGCCTGGAGCACCCTCCCCTGTCTGTTCTCATCTGGGACATGCCTTCCCCAGGGTGCCTCTCCAGACAGCTTGGGCAGACACTCCTGCCCTCCCCTCTGCTTTGCACATCCTGCTACAGTCAAATCAAAGCTGCTGCTCGCCCTTACTGTGCCTTTGGGCAAAGCAGGAAAAGGCACCCTTACCTCAGAATGCTTTCTCCCACCTGCAGGAGAACTCTTGAAACAGACATGTCAACCTGGAACACCTACAGCGTGCAGGGGGAGTGTCCCAAGGGGGCCCTGACGGCACCAGAGCGGACACTTTGGGAACATCTCTGTGTGCCCGGCGCTGTGCTAAGTGCCTTATCTCAAATACTGTCCATAAAGCTCAGGAGGGAAATGGCTCATTTCACAGGTGAGGAAAGTGAGGTTCAAAAGGCTAAGACCAAAGTCATGTAAACAGTAGGTGGCAGAGTTAGGGTTTGAATTGCAAAGCGCTGATGGAGGTAATCATTTCTATCAAGTCACTGCCACCCAAATGGCTGCTTACATATCTGTCCAGACCTTAGCATGAGCGTCTCAAAGCAGGGAGCACGTTTCACTTGCTGCCAAAGCTCAGGAAACATGCAGAATGGGTGGCACCGTGTGCGTGTTGATGGAAGGAGGCTCTCTGCAGGGCATTAGGGTTCCAGGGGCTGGGGCCTGTTCCCCTGCGTTGTGGCTGAAGCTGGAGATGTTTGGACCAAGGAGTCTCAGCCCCTGAAGTCTAATATTTGATTCGGTGCCTGCTTAAGGTCTGCCCTTGCTCCCACATCAAACAGAGAAACCCTCTTCCAGGGCCTGATGATTCCATTTAGTCCCTGAATCCAGATTTTTCTGAATCTAGAGTTGTGTTCTCTGCTGAAGTGGGACCAGGTTTATAAAAGGGGGCCCACTGACCTGAGGCAAATCTTTAAGGCGTATCTGAGTTTTCCAGGACCCAGAGCAAGGTGAAGAATGTTCCTGGCAAGGGTATGACTAGATACTAAGGCTGGGAAGAGCAGGGACAGGGACAATGGCAAACAGACTCTTCTTAGGCCTGGGGGCCAGAGCATGCTTTTCTGTTTGTCTTTGTACTAGACTTTGAGTCTAGTACAATTCTTTAAAGCTGCTTATCACTAGAAATCTAATAATGCCTTTGCATGTCTCTAGTATCTTCTGCCTTTTCTAGAACTCTACTAGTAAAACGTGGAGAGTTAGAAAAACAGCCCCTTTTCAAGCTCAAGGAGGGTTGTACAACCTGCCAACCAACCCTTGCAACCTCCATTGCCCAACCAGGCCAACGATTGTCTCTGTGAAAGATAAAATAAGGAGGAGCTGATAGCAATGCCTTGGTTTCTTCACTTAACATTTCTGGGTCAAGGTCTTGGGGGTCAGCCTAGCCTGGGGCATGAGGACTTCTTTATTCAAATGGCAGTGTGACAGCACTCAGAATCACAGACTCTGAAGCTATCTGTCTGGTTCAAACCCTAGCTGTGTGACTCTGAGCATCACTTCTTAAAGTTTCCGTTCTCTCCCCATAAAAGGGTACCTATTTCAGAAGTTAATACACGTAAAGCCCTTCAACAGTGACTGGCACATAGTACACCATGTTAGCTATTATTTTTATTACTTGTCCAGATATGTCAATGCAGCTCTGAAGAAAGTAACAGAAAAAGTCCTGATTCTCTGCTGGTCTTAAGGGAAGTGTCATTTGAAAGTGCTAGGTGTCTTGCTGTGCTAAAGGACACTGGAAGCAGGGAATAGTCCTCATCTGAGTCAATGTTGTCTTCTTGTGGGGAAGGATGGCCAGGGAAGTCAGTGATTCAAAAGGGAGGTAAAATCCTGACTTAAGCACCTCCTTACGTGAAATAATCCTCCTTCTGAGACAGGAGGGAAAGGAGCAGGGCACAGCCATTCAAGGAAAGACAGCAATTAACATCAAAATGGTGGAAGATTCAACTCCCAGTAGGCTTTGAGGCTCAAGATGGCAGGAGATTTGACTTCTAGTAGAACTTGAGCTTCATTATATGCTCATTGCAATATTAACATGGTAAATGGTATTCCCACAGGCGCCATGACAGCTCCAAGGCTAACCATAAAAGGTCAAAGAGTGGGCAGTGGCCAACTTCCTGGGAATTCCAGCCCCTTCCCCAGGGTAGTTAAAGTTGTCTTCCCACTCGTTAGCATATGAAGCTACCCAACCCATAAAAATTGGCAAAACGACATTTCGTGGCCATCACTTTTGCTCCCTCATCTTCGGAGACTGCCTGCACTCTGTCTATGGAGTGTGTATCTACTTACACTTTAACCTGAGCACCCAACCCCTACACCTCCTGGCCTTTCAAAACAGCCTACACTCTATGCTGTATCTATCTATCTAAATAAATTGATCTTTACTCAATTGTGGCTCGTTCTTGAATTCTTTTCTGCGTGAAGCCAAGGACCCACACCTGGTGGGGCACATCCCAGGGGCTCAACGGAGACCTGGGACACGGCCCTCCTCATGCCCCACATTCGTTTTTCCTGTATCACTTCCAGCCTCTCCTCTGCCCAGAGAGGTGTTGTCAGGGTCTTCCCATGAGGATAAAGGTCCTATCTGCCTTGTTCACCTGTGTCCCCAAGTTACAGAGATGATGCTTAATGGTGCTGAAATGAATGAAAAGGAATGAATTAGATTTTCTCAAAGGAAAATGAGTGGGGCTGAGGTGGCCAGTCTGGTGCACATGGTCAATCAAGGGGTTGATGAGAGTTGTGAGCCTCTGCACAGGGCAGTGGAGGAGCCTGATTGAGCCTGGGCCCCCATCCTCATGGTGACAACCACATCTATTCTTGGGCACCTGCCTTATCCTCAAACGTGGGGAATCTGGCTTTTAATGATTAACATACAACCTGTACATTTTAAAATATTTTATTAAAAAAAAGAAAAACCAACCAAACAAAAAACCCAATCCAAGAACTCTTGGTTCTGGGAGTCTGGGAGCAGCTTAGGTCTGTAGGGAGGGTGGAACCTGGAAGACAGATGGTGTGGGGATCTCTGACCCCTGGGAGTTAAGAGCAAGAGCCAGGGAGGCTGAAAGGCAGAGCAGCTCTTCCCAGGGCTCAGCTCCTCTCTGTGGCCTGGGCTCATCCACTTGGAAAAGACAGGTGGGGGCCTCGATCCCTAGAAAAAGGCAGGGTGGGCAGTTCTGGGTGGGCCTCAGATCTCTTATCAAAGCCACCAACCAGTCAGGAAGGTGGAGCGGGTGGCCCGGGGCTCGATCGGGCCTAAGAGCATCCTCCCAGAAGGCTAGGGTCAGCCTACCCTAGGGACGTGGGCTTGGACAGAGAGATGTGCCCCTAAGTACGGCTCAGCGTGGGGCTGCAGTCCCTCGGAAGAAAGGGCCCTGACGAGGTGGGACCTGGAGGCAGTCCTAGGCAAGATCCTGGTGGGTGGGGCAGGGTCCAGACTCCCATCCGGGGCTCAGTGGCCCAGGTGGCCGCGGGGCAGCGCCCGGATGGGCCGAGGCGGGGGATTGTCCAGGACTGGCTCCGGCCGGATGCGCACGCCGCCCCGGCGCTTCTGCTTGCGCAGCAGGTAGCTCGAGTACTGCACCTCGGGCATGGCCAGCTTGAGGCAGGCCTCAGTGGCCGGGCCGGCGCGGCCGCTGGGCAGGTCGTAGCCCATGATGTCCACCTTCCGGCTGGGCTGCCATGGCTGCAGCTGCTTGGTGCGGATCTGCGCCGCGGGC